ATTTTTTGCCAGACTTTCAAATATCCCCAGTGGAGTCGTCAAGCTGTAATAGCAATTTTGGGACCGTTAGACGTAAATAATTTTAAAATTGAGAAAACATGAGAGAAGTCGCCACCAATTTTTTTTAGGGTGTGATTGACCACCCAAAAAATTATCTTTTTAATAAAACTATAAAAGTGAGTTTAAAGTTTATCAAAAAGATAAATTTTGATCTATGAAAACTAGGTTGGGTCCGAGAGTCGGTTACGCGTGAGGAAGGATTAGCACCCCTATAATAACCATAAATTGGTACCAATTAATTATGCACTATTTTCGATATTGGATGAAATAATTTTAATTTAAAATTTAATAATAATCCATTTCATTTTAAAAAATAAAATTTTGTTAAAACTCTTTATTTAGAAATATTGAGAAAATCTTTAAGTTAAAGAGTTATCTTAAAATTCTCCAACATCTAAGTAGTATTTAAAATAAGTTTTTTCACTTAAAATTTAACACAACAATCCTTAAAATGAAATAACACTCTTTATAGAAGATAATTGTTGGTGACTCTTCAACATCTAGACAGAGTACCAAGAATTATTTCTTTCATAATATTATTTTTGTTTTATTTTATAATATCATAATTTAAAAAAAATGTATTGTCCCTTTTTTATTATAAAAAATTTTGTCATCAAGTAGTAAATAAAAATTAAAGACAGAAGAATGCAAACAATTACCAACGATAACATGTTAATGTATATATGCCAATGACTGTTATGTAAGGTAAGGAAATGTAATTTTAAAGTTGGGTGCTTAAATATAATGAGACCACCCTCATTTTTCAACATCTAGCAGAGCTTATGTGCGATTATTTACATTTAAAATCCTAATTTACTATTATACGTTTTTATTTATTCATCACACTATTAATGTGAATTAGGGATTCGTATGAAAAACTTAATGAAATAAAATTTCCTAAATATCTCATCATCTAGACGGCATTCTAGAATAAATCATTTCATGTGAGATTTTCACACGTATCTTTAGAGTTTCGAAATAATTTGAGTATAGGCTTAGGTCAAAGTTTTAAGAATTGGTGACTTTTTTATGATGATTCGAGGTTGTGTGCTGAATTTAAGGTTTAGGATTTTAGAGTTTGAGATTTTAGATTTAAAGGTTTTTGGATTTTAAGGTTTGGAGTTTAGAGTTTTGATTTTAGGGTTTAAAGGTTTTAAGGCTTGAGTTTTAGGGTTTGAAAAGTTTAAGGTTTAGGGTTTTGGTTTTAAAGTTTAGAAGGTTTAGGGTTTCAATTTTAGGGTTTAAGGTTTATGGTTTTGATTTTAAGGTTTGAAAGTTTTAGGGTTTTGATTTTAAGGTTTAGTTTTAGGGTTTGGAAAGTTTAGGGTTTAGTTTTTTTTTTTTAAATACGAACATCTCTAAAAATCCTTAACATTTAGGGCGGACTTTCGAAGCAAATTTGATTTTTATGATTTTTGAAAAAACTATTTAAAATTTTTTTTATGAAAATCTATTATTAATAATATTACTAATTTATTTAGTTTATTTTTTTAATAATAATAATTCTTCAACATCTAGGTAGAATTATCATTATTTAAAGCACGATTGTATTCCCTCCAACATCTAGGCAGAAAAAATTTTCTTATTACTAGTAATTTTATAATCATTTTATATATTTTTATTATTATTATTTATTTTTTTATTTAAGACTTTGGTTAAAAAAATATTAAAAGGAATCAAAAGTTTTGAAATCATTTTTATTACTGTTGTTATTATTAATAATTATTATTATGAAACAATAAGTATTTATTTTAATAAATTCTAAAAGTTTTAAAACATGCATAAATAACAATAATAATAATGTTTAAAATGATATAAAAAATAAAAAAAAATAAAATTTTTTTTTACCTAAATTAGACCTGTCAACGATTTGATTAATGCTGGTTTTACTAGACTAAAAAAAAGGATGGTTCGATGAGCGGTTCGGTTAAACCGGTTGAGTAGCAGTTCGACACGTAATTCAGTTGAAGTAGTTCAGGGTTGATTGAAGGACGAGTCATCGGGTTAGGTTATGTAGATCTCGAATCGAGTTTAGGTCCACGCACAGATCCTCTTTTGTCTAATGCGACGTCGTTTTACTTCTAAGTTTTTATATAAAAATCAACTTTTTTGTTCATTTCATCCTTCCTGCCTAAAAAAAAAACCTCATTTTCTCTCTAAAGCCAAAAAATAAAAGACCAGAATTCGATCACCTTTAGCCGCATCAGTCGTCGTGCCTACCACCGTTAGTGGTTATCAGTGATTGAAAGATCCCAAAATGTTCCAAAAAAATTCCTTTCACTCTCCTAAGTTTGAACCCATTATTCTTTTTGCGAGAAACAACCTTGATAGGTGTAGATCGGGGTTTGAAGTTTTAGTCTCTCTCTTTTTAAAAAATTGAAACTGATTTTTTTTTATTTTTACAGGTAGCTTGGCTTATGGTTTCTCACCAATTGGGGATGACTATGTTTGTATTTTTTTTTATTTTTTTCGTTGATTACTTTTTATTTGGGTTAGGTTCTATTTTTATGGGAAGGTCGATTTGGGGGATAAAGGGATTTGGTGTAAGGCTATTGGGATGAAGATGGTTGTGTAAAGTTTAGGTGTCAAGAACCTAGTGCGTGGAGGCTGGGAGTAGGGGTGAGGTCGAGCTGGGGTTTCTGGGTGTGGAAGTTGGATATTTTATAGAAGGCTGGGTGTTTGGGAAAGTGGGCGGGATAGGTTGTGGCTGTAGAGGGTGGCTACAAGGTAGCTGCAGGGTGGCTAGATGTATGAGTAAGGTAGGTTGTAGGGTAAACTCTTGGTGGCTACAGGGTGGCTGATCTGATGAGGCGCATAGTGGTGGCAGGATGGCTAGACAAGCTGGTGCCGTGTACAGCACCATTCCTATCCCGTCCCATCTCTTTTTTTTTTTGTAATACATATTTATTTTTATTTTATTATTTTATTATTTAAGCAATACTATCATTATTAATATTAATATTAATATTATTTACTGTTATAATTAATTAATAATTTTAATGTTAATGAAAGAAAGCTAAAAATGGGATTTTATCCTATAGACGTAGACAAAATTCAGTGTCTACAAGTGCGTGATAATCTTTGGATTCTTCAATTATTATCATTTTTGCCTCCCAAATCTTTGATAGACTGTTCAAGATTTTCTTTACCATCTCCATATTGAAATATGTTTTCCCAAAAGCCTTCAAATCATTTATGATGTCAATGAAGCAACTAAACATCTCACTAATATTTTGCTCCGATTTCATTTTAAAAAGCTCATAATCATGAGTAAGCATATTAATTTTGGTCTACTTTACTTGATTAATACCTTTATGAATAATAGCCAATTTATCTCAAATTTTATTATATTCACTAAGCCCTAATGCAAAAAAAAAAAAAAAAAAAAAAGCATCATTGTCTTGGTATTAAGTTGAGCTATTTTCATATTATTAGCATCTTATTAACTTTTTTGCTTAATCACATTTTTATCATTCACTTTTTTCATTGGAATTTAAGGACTATAGACAGTAATTCTTTGTTTTTTTATAATCATTGGTTTAAATAAATAATCTCATCTTTGTCTTCTAATAGCCGGAGAAAGAGGACTGCTGCCGTTAGCTGTAAGGAAGGTTTGGGTTTCCATGGAGATTTTTCTGCCACTCTGGCAGAATGGTCAACTCTAATTCTAAAACAGAAAGCTGAAGATCAAGAGAGCAACACAAGTTGCCAAAAACAAGTTCAAACTTAATGTAATCCTTTTTCTGCTAAGTATTTATCTATAGACACTTAAATATGTCTTGTACATTTTAAGAATTGTTTTCCTTTCATCAAGATATTGACTCTTGACTTCTTGTTAAGCAATCACTACAAAATTATCATACCAAGACAAAGTGTGAAATGAGCCATGTGCAATTCAAGACTCAAGTAAATTAATGAGGAAATGATTGCGCAAGACTCGAGAAGTATCCATCGGTAGGAAATTAAAAAGGCTTGTTGGAGTTTGTAGGTTCTATTATGATGGTTAATAGATTTCCTTTATGGGAAATTATTCAGTTTTCATTTAGGAAATTGGATTTAAGAGGAGATTTAAATTTAAAATTTAGCATATACAAATAGGACCTTATTAATTATTCTCAAATTCATAAATTTGTTGGATGTTTATTTAGCAATAAATTAATTGAAACATCTATATCTATTTGAGAATTTGAAATTCGCATTCTTATACTTTTTCAAATTTATATTCATATTGAATCTTAGTTAATTGTGGATAATTTGTATATTTCATACTCACAATTTATATAACAAATCAAATCCAATTTCAATTTTACTCTTTTAAATCCGTCTTTCCAAACATAACATCCAGGAATAGGCAAGTTTAAGAAAACAACCTTGTTCGACTATGTTGTAAGATCATTATCATAAAAGAAAACTAGAAAAAAGAATATTAAGTTTTAACACTGTTTTTAGTAGTATGAAAGATGCATAACACATCTACTTTCATTTGAATGACCCTCAATTATTACTTAATTAGTATACTATCTGCAGATTTTGATGGCTTGTGCAGCCATTTATTATTACTACAGACACTTTTTAGAAATTCAAGTATTGATATTATTTTTTAAAGGCATTCTCATGCTAAAATACTGTTCACTTTTTTTCGTTCGTAAATATCTTGTTCAACTTCAATTTCATGCTTTAAACCCAGAAAAGAACAAACGCTGAATTGAAAATTCCAAGCAAATTGGAGGAAGAAATGATAGGCAAAAAGGCCTAAAGTAAGAAAAGTGACAGAAACAAGAGGGAATAAGAACAGACCTGGACAACAAGAGCTGAGTCCATAGGCAGTTAAAATCTTGAATGGAGAATTTCTCAAATAATAATTGGTTTTAATTTTAAAGAGACATCAAATTATGATTATAGAAGGGTGAAGTGAGAAATCGTTTCAATAATACGCAAGAAAACCGAGAAACAGGGGAATTTATTCACATAGTTTTCATCGCAAAGGAAATAAACAGCCAGTCAAAAGATAAGTACCCTACCAGAATCAGATACATACTCGGATTTAGTATTCATTTTGGGGTTGGGAGCTTAAAGGAGCCACTGGGGGACACTTTCAAAGCCACTTCATTCAAATCTCAACACGTCCGTTCAGCTCTCACGAATATATGTAGGGAAATACAACGTATCCTCTTTATTACAGAGCACATTTACACAGATCGTACTAGTAGATGCAAAGCTGCTCTCTTAGGTGGACCAACGGCACTCGTAACAACTATATATGCGACAAATTTATGTACACAACCTCCCAGAAAATTATGCTGACCCCCAAGAAATCACAGTTGTTGATCCAGATATGGATCCCTAGGAGTCTTTGGCCCGCTCAGATATCCTCCAACACGTTGGGAAACCCCAGAGACAACGTTACTCACCAATGAAGTTCCCCATGACAACCATCCCGTCTGAGCTTGCTGATTACTTGTTTCAAGAGTCATTCTCCTTTGCTCCTCTGTGATTATGTCGTGCCACCTCTTAGACATAAACTCTTTGACAGCATCAGCTCCCTTATTTGCTATCTCCATTGGAGGCACTATGAGTGGATTCTGGTCCAAATTGAGCTTTGATAGTTTTCCAAGGCGGCCAAATGTGTAAGGTAGAGCTCGGATTTGATTGTTGCTAAGATCAAGTTCCCTGAGATTAATTAGATCACTAATAGTTTCAGGAAGGTCTGTGAAGTCATTAAAATTACTACTTAGGTTCAGGACTTCAAGGTTTGTCATTCTCCCAATCACTTGAGGCACGCCATGAAGCTCATTGAAATGAGCATCCAGATATCTCAGGGACCTCATTTCACAGATTGATGTTGGCAGGAAGCGGAGCTTATTCAGCTGGATTGAGAGCTTTTCAAGATTTAGGAGTCCATACCCAATGTTTGTTGGCAGACATGACAAGTTGTTAAAGCTTGCATCCAACTCCAGCAGTGAACTAAAAAGCAAGATGAACTTAACCTTCAGAGAAAAACCAAGAGCAAAGGAGCAGGAAAGGAAAGAAACAAAAGCTGCTAAGAAATGTAAGTGGAGAACAAAACCAGTACAAGATTAAACAGAAAATAGCGTAATACCTGCATCTAGCAATGCTTTCAGGAAGGGCATTTAGCTTGTTTCCAGACACATTGAGGATCCTCAGATTAAGCAACAAGCCAATGGAGTCAGGCAGATATTGCAAGAGATTGGAAGATGCGTCAAGCTCCTCGAGTTTCTTGAGCCCTCCTATTGAATCAGGAATGACCTGGTTCCCACCAGCAAAGCACGAAAACACCAAATATTCTTACCAAAATGAATTCTAGCAGACTCAAAAATATTGTCCATATTATTCACTGATCATTATTATATTTATTGCATTAACCAACAATTATAGGTTATTTACTGATAGTGTGAATAACAAATCTACCCATATTATTAAAATTAACATATTAAGATAACTATAAGATAGCAGAAGACTTTATCTAAGATAAAGCAGGTCTTTCGTGCAAAACATAGGATCGAAATACCAATATACTCATCCTTATGAATTACATAACATTGTTGCAACAGGCAATAATGCATTTTGAATTCAATAGCTTAAAGGAAACAATGAGCTGCCAATTGCCAAGCTGTTATCAAAGTATTTAGTTGATCAATTGATACAAGATTTACTAAGAACAAGAAGAACCAACTATAATTCTTAATTGAAACCTCCCAATTTTCGTAATTTCATTGACAAGCCAGAACCTGGAATCGATTTTCAAACAGAAAAAAAAAAAAAAAAAAAAACCAAAAGAAAATGAGTGTAAGCATATATTACCTCTATCTGGTTATTGGAAAGATTGAGATAAACCAAACCATGAAGTTTCCCAAAGGCCTCAGGCAACAGCCTCAACTGCCTCCCAGAAAGCTCAACTCTTTCAACCACCCCATTCTCAGCTTCTTTCAATATCCTTACAACTTCCTCATTTACTTCATCTTCACCTCCCATTTCTTCCATAGCCGACCGGTAAATACGAGTCAGGTTCTCCTCCACCTCAGTCAACTGTCTCTCGTAATCCTCGTGCATCTCTTCCATTCTGATCACCGCCTTGTATATCTCGGCCTCCCCCGAGGAAGATTGGGTTTCTTGTATCTGGGTAATCTTGGAGCGGGCGGAGGAGACTGCTGATGGGTCGGGTCGAGAACCTAGGGAGCGGAGGAGGAAGTGGGTTTGGGTGACAGTGGCGGGGATGGATTGCGAGAGTGAAGCAAGGATTCTAGGGTCGGTTAAATGGGGGAAATGGGTGAATAAATTATGGTGGGTCTGGGGAGGGAGTGATGGGTAAGTGTAGGGATCTTGTTCGGAAAGGATGTAAGACAGAATCGGGAACTTTGAAAGATTAGGATCCATTTAGCTGTTCTCTCTTGTAGGAGAAGAAGAAAACAGGAAAAGGGGGGCAGCGCCGAGAGAGAACGATGAGGTAGTGCTTGACAGGATGGGGATGACTATGAGCTCTGTCTCCGTGGACATGTGTAGCATTGCAAATGTTTACCTTGTCATGATTGACCCGGTTTTGCGGTTTTCTTACGTTCGCATCATTGATCGATTCTTGGGGCTTTGGGTTTCTATTCCTTTTCGGGATAATAGTGGGTCTTACAAATTCTTAACGTTGGGCTTATCATTTGGAAAGGAAGGCCTGGGAGCTTCATCAGAATTGGATGAAAGTCCATTTCGGTGTTTGATCCAGTTTGAAACTATACCATATAAAAGTCGGACAGGTTCCAACAACTTTTAACATGTAGTATGCTCTTTTTCTTATTGTATAATTCGAATCTGTTAGGAGATTTTGAAACGGTAAATTTTGGTAAATTCATTTAGTCTGACGTAAATAACCTTACTTTGATTGATACGGAGAAAGAACATTCTTAACAACGCCCAAGAATCCTAAAAAAAATAAACAAAGCTTCGCTGAATGTATGTCACAGACTACAACCTGACATCCGCGTAACATCATTGCCACTACATTATTTACAATTTGGGATTTTGGAGAGATCTCTTCTCTCAGTATAGTGCCTTTGGCCTATCATCAATGATCTAATTCATGATTCAACCTTCCAAATAAAAAATTAAGTAAAATGATCCAGAGATGCAATTACTGCTTTCTTTTCTCAATCTTTCTTAAAGCAACAGGTACTAGATTCTCTTCTTATTCTCTTGTGATCAACTGCTTCAGACTCTCTTTTGTCATCAACTCATCATCATCTGAAGCATCATTAAGCAACACCAATAATACATCCATATATAATAAATACCAGCGGCTTTTTTTCAGTGTTTATTGCATTCAACAGTTTGCAAAGTTGAAATATTATTTCAGATGAGAAGGGCTAACAGTCGAGAAATATCAGACAGTATAATGAGTCTTCACATGCAAATTTCCTCCGTCGAAGAAGTAAGACCCATGTCCAGTGCTTGATCGATCAAATCTACCTCTTGGCATTCTATGTTCGGGATATATGCATTGGTGCACTAACAGTGATTAATCTGGTTTCTAAATAATTAATACCTTTGCTGCAATCTAACGAAATTGCCCATTCTCATTGTTCAAGGTTGAAAACTGAAACTCCTCAGGGTCCAGGATAGGAGTCGTTATTGTTGAGAAAACACGCCCAGTAAGCCCAAACCAAGAATAATAACGTATAAATATATTCAACTATGAGACTTTTGAAATAAGAAACATCATCAAAAATTTTTATTCAAAACTTAAAAATAACTCAATTACACACTTTTTATTCAAAACTTAATAAAAAACTTAATTACACTCTTTTAATAGCTTACTCAATTATTCTTTTGGTGTTTAACTATTTAGGATTATCAAATTAAAACCAAAACATCTTATAAACCCTTTATATCTTTGTTAAACTTTTGATATGTAATAAAGACAAACTCTCAACTCTTATAACTTTACTTAATTTTCAATGTGGGACTAAAAGATTTAAAGCAAACCTCAATAAATTCTTCCTTAACTTAAATCTCCAAACACTTCAACAGTATCTATAAAGCTGATATGTTTATCCTTCTTCTTTTCCTTCATCATAGGAATCTTAATAATTGAGTATCCATCAAACATATATAAGTGATTTTTAACCCTATTCTCTTATAGAAACACTCTACCATTCTTGTATAATTTGCATCAATCGTTTCATTAATAGTAAATATAATTTACCCAAAGTAATCAAATTCTAACTATAACTTGATAGATACCTTACACGACAAAAAGTCCTAATAACACCATTGTGATATCTAAGATAAACACTTCCAATGTCTTGAATCTACACTTTTTCATTGTTGGCAACCACAATATCTCTATACTTTTTATTCTCATCCAACTCCATAAAATAACTCCTATAATTACAATTATGAATTGTAGTAGCTGAATCTAAAATCTAGCTTTATAACTTTTCAAAGTTTAAGTCTCATCTACACAGGTCGTCCAAACGACATTATCATCATCAAACACAATAATAGCAATATCACTATTTACTCATCTGATTTTTTTTCGTCATTTGTCATTTTGAAAATAGCTATATCTCTTTCAGCTTCTTATAGCACATTTGGATATGTCCATTTTTATCACAATAATAACATTCTATATCACTATAATCTATGTTTCTTGACTTGGATCTCCCTCTTGATCCATCAACCTTATTTTGAGTTCTCTCTTGATCAGAACTCTTGGCTAATGCACTCCCTTCAGGTGATGAGTTTTGTATTCCCATAAACCTTTTATTTTCACCAGTCACATCACCTAATTTCAAAATAGACTTATCTATCAACAAAATTTAAACTAAAAGTCTATAAGACTTGGGCAAAAATGACAACAGAATTAAAGCTTTTTCTTCATCCTCTAACTCATCAATAGAAATAGCCAATAATTGATAAACTAATATATTAAACTCATTCAATTGATTATTAAGATTCTTACCTTTTTTCATCTTCAAAAAATATAGATCCATTTTCAAATATAATATGTTACTTTAATGCATAAATACCCTCAAATTTATCCCATAAACTTTTTGGAGTACTCTTAGTCAACACATTGTACTTACCTTTTAGGCTAGCACCAATTTGATAATACTAATAGCTTTTTTTTAATTTTATTCTAATTACTATTAGATATTCTCTCAGATTTATTACTCTCTATTGCCTGATCAAATCCTTATTGTACTAACAGATCTTGAATTATACTTTACCATATTATAAAATTACTCTTTACATTAAATAAAGGAAAGCCAAACTTGAGTATAGACATACTAGACATATCTTTTTCAGATATTTTGAAATACTTGCATTATCTTCATAATCTCTTAGGCTTGTCTCTCATCTTTTCGTGTCTCAAACCTCGTTCTGACTCTTTTCATGTCTTGAACCTTGCTTTGATATCATTTGTTGAAAAATCAACATGCACACATAATACTAACACACACAAATAATATAATAAGCTCAAAATAAGAATAAAAATACACAAATATATTTGGCCTTACCTAAAATAGCCTACTTTAAACCTTATTCACTAACAAATAAATCTTTACAATTATGAAATTTTTGGAATGAAAAGAGTCACAAAAAATGCTTTACTCAAAACTTAACCCAAAACTCAATTACACCATTTTAATAGCCTACTCACTTAGCTATTATTTTAGTGTCTAACTATTTTGGATCATTAAACTAAAATCAAAATATCTTATTTATAAATGTGAAAACCTTTATACATTTACTAAACCCTCAATGTAAAATACAAGACAAACTTTGGCCTCTTTTAACTTATTAAGATTAAAAAATTCAAAGGCAAACCTCAAACAGTAACATCATTTATGTCGCAAACAGAGAGTGAAGAAAGACTTTCCAATGCTTGATGGACAAGCCTATAGTGGTTGCAGAACAAAGAAAAAATCTACTGAAACGACCTAGGGGCAAGAATGAAAAGAATTCTACTCACAAAGGGGAACAACCAATAGTGAGCAATGTATGTAAGCTGATGGATGCATGTTCAATATTTGGAAGTATTTGGGAAGTTAATAGATATATCTGTCTGCAAATATTTTTGCGAAAATCATGCCAGTCGCAAAGAAATGCTACTATCATCGTCTTCATAAGATTGGTTGAATACAAGAAATCTTCTGTATCATCTTCCTCCTCAAGATAACTTCAATAATTTCAATGTTTGAATCATGGTAGTGCAAATTGCAAATAAAAGGTGACTTGATGGTTAAAGAACTCATCTTCTATAAGCCATTAAACAGAGATGATCATAATTATAGTCAGAACAATTTTTCACTATACCTCTATATAAGATAACAGTCTAACACATTCTCCTTGCATTGGATCAGAAGGTACGATGGTTTTCTTCCCTTTATTATAAGAAAGACATGATTGGTGACTTTTATTCAACTAAAAGGGTTTTTGGAACAATTCAATAAAATTTTCTGAAAATACATATGTACTTCTATATTTTACTATTTAATTTCTGGGTTCAAGCATATGGCTTGGAGTTGTCCGGATTTTCTCCAGGTAGGGCCCAGTTACGATCAATTTCTATTACTACATTTGTAGCCTCCACAATAACAGTTCTAAGTTTTTTGTTTTGTGTGTGTACATCTCCTTTGTAAGGGGACGGAATTCAGTTAGTGTTTCAATTAAGGACACGTTCGTATTACAAAAGAAAATGAATCATTGTCCAAAAATCACATAAGATAACCTCTTCCATCGTTTATTTCTTAATCCATAAAACTCAAAGATGATTTTTGTTTTTCTTCTTTGTACGGACCTGAGTACGCAAAAAGAATTAAACAAAACCATTTTCTGTTAGGCAAATATTTCTGAAAAATGATCTTTTCTATATTTCTCATTTTGAAGTTTAAGCAATTGCCTGTATTGTGCTTCTCCTCTCTCCCATGCACAAATGCCAACACAAGGGCTTCATCATCAGTTTCCAGGCTTTCAGTCAGTCACACGTGGCCTCTTGCTCATTATCACCAATCGAAGATTTCAGCTCCCAATATCTTCAATGGCGACCTCACAGTCACAGCTCTCAAACGCGGTTTAGACGCTGTGGGATTCGTGAAGGCTAACCCCCCCCCCCCTTTTTTTTTTACTGAAGCACACCTCTCATTGTCAAAAATAGACTTCCCAAGCGCCCGCTTTCTCCTTGGCATCCTTTCTTTTTCTTTTTTTTTTTAAATCATATTCATGTTAGGAGGAAAAACAATAGAAAGAAAGAAAAGATCGCACATGGTTGGGTAGGATAACCTTAAAATCACTTCATCTTAATCCCCAGAAGATAGCAATCATTAAACTGCCTTTCATATTTGTTTTGATTCCCTTTGTTAATTCAATTTTAATATTGTAAGATAAAGCATTCATCTCCAGATTTCCATGAGACAGCAAAGGGAATCTTCCTTTTTGAATGATACGTGAGAGGAGACCCTTCCTTTGAACCAAAAATTATAGACTCAGACAGCTAGCAGCCCCTTTGTTCTTCCTCTTTCTTGTCTTGGATTGAAGGGAAGTCTTTTCTTTTGCTTTCTGGTTTCCATTTCTTCTTTTTTGGCTTTACTTTTAATTACCTATTATTATATTGTTTGGTATTGAGCGAACATTCATCATCAGTTCATATATATATATATATATATATATATCCCCGCCGTCAAATGGGACAGGTTTATGGCTTTCCCTCCATTGATGTTCAATAAATTCCGGTAATAACTCATCTGATTCTTCCAATGGTCCCCTTATGCTTCCAAAATTTATTGCTATTGCTACTTGGAATTTGTTTGGTATTGAAACAACCATTGATTCGATGCAGCTTTGTCCCTATGTAATTATTACATCCAATCTGATCAAAAATGAAAATCACTGATCAGGAGTTAGCTATGGCCCATAACTCAGCATCAACAGGAACAAAATATAAAAAAAAAATGGGATACCCAAATCAAAAGTATTTAGGTACTACTAACTAACATAATCTTACCATAGGATTTAGTACTATAAGATTCAGAAACCAGAATGATCTGTTTATCACTATATATTGGTTTTATATAGAGTTTAGGATTCATTTGGAGATGATCTTTTACTTGACTGAAGTGATCAAACCAGCTCAAATCCAAGAAATTGTAATATAGTAGGGTTGTAGATGTCATGTTACTAATATTTTGCTTTTAATAGATATATTGCCAGCAAAACGATATTTATCTGATGCTGGAAATAGTTGCTTTATCTGTGAATACGTCAGCAGGTGGTAACGATACAAAAAATACAGAAAACGACATGAGCTTACCTTCAAAGTTCAAATGATTCATTATCATCATCTCCTAGATTCAAAGTATCTTACACATTCAATTAGGTAACTGCCACCATATTTGATTATCAATAGTTCGTTTTAGGGTCAAGTCTTGTGATTGGAGAGTAATTTGATCCAATCTTGTAATAAAAACATTTTTAAAAAAATGCCTAACTCAGGATAAAAAAAATTATAAAATATTAAAATTTAAAATTTAAACTTATATTTTTTAAAAATAATTATATAAATCAATTAAATTAACTCACGATTCATGTTAAACTATTTGAGATGAATGACGAGCTCCTATTAGTGCAATAATCTTCCATGGATAGGAACAAATTATGAGTCATCAATTAATTTTTATATGAAATACTTTATTATTCTGGACACAAAAATTTTGGTGTATAAAAACAACCATTATTATAAACAAGTACATAAAAATTTAGATAGAACAATATATATTCATATGAAAAAAGTAGTTCTAATAAGAAACCCGGAAAGAAGAATATAGTAAAAGCAACTTACATTACATTCCGCCCATTGCCACCTCAGATCATTCAAAGGATGCTTGGTATTTCATTCCGCCCCAGTTAATATGATCTTCATTGACCTGCAAAATCATAAATCAAACCAATGGAATTACAATCAAACGATAAGCACTCAAAACATATATACAAACAGAACATTGAAGAGGAAAATCAAAAGAAAACAAAAAAAAAAAGAAAGTGCCAAAAAGAAAAAGTGAGACCAAAAGTTCTAAAAAAAATATGACGGAAAAAAACATGTAGAGACTACGAAAAATATGTAGGGAAAACGGACGAGGAAAACGCCGGTGAAAGTATCACACGAGGTGGGACACGTGTTTAAACCAACGAGGAGAAGCTGTTGAGGATGAGGAAAAGGAACGTGGCACGCAAATACTGGAATTTGACATAAAAACATCTGCTGCTGTTTAATGATTACGCGTAAATGACGCTTGAACGGAACGGAGAACTATCCCTACCACCCCAAAGATTGAAGAAATTGACAAAAAAAAAAAAAGGCGGCGGGGGCAAACTATGAAGTGAATGGAACCGGACAACAAACATTCCAGAAAAGAAAAAGCAAAAAAAAAAAGAGAAACTCACCATCAGAAAAAAAATATTTGGGCTTTTTGGGAGATGACCCAAACCGAAACTGGATGGAAAATTCATTAATGGCCAAGCATCATCAAAACAGTCCTTAAACGATTTACAGTTCCAAATACATCATATAGATTAACTTTTTTTTTTTTTTTTTCTTCTATGGGTAGTATTCTTTTACTTGTTCTTCGCGAACTCAAACAGGATCATAACAGGTTAATAGATCATGATCCTTCATTTCTTTTGACCTGCTGCTATTGCCAGTGATTCCCGTTACGAATAAGGTAAAAATGACTTGGTTTGCCAATATGAACATGGTAACCATAGTAAGGAACACTCTTCCCCGCAGATTTCTCCGAGACAAGAGGAAAAGCGACGGAAGTCCCCGATATCTGACGTATGGAAGAGAACCTGAGAGGGGATGATGATGAGGACTTTGAAGACGAAGCCCACGAAGAAGGAGGAGGAGAAATTGGTTTTTTGGTGGATTTTGGCTGCGAAAGGAAAGCTCTGATCTTTAACGAAGATGGTGGCGATGCCACTCGATCGTATTCCTCGATGAGATTCGCGAGATCCTCATCGGAAGTGATCGAAACCAGCGCGTCTAGATCCTCAGTTGGCAACTGGCAACGTAAACTCACCGTTGTCCCACACATCTCTCCCATCTTCAGCGACAGCTCTGTACCATACAATAAAATTTGATTCTTGATCATTTCTCTGTATTTAAAACAATTGCCCATTTTTTCTTTCTTGTAAAGAATAACTTTTGATTATAGCACTTCAAAAAACTAAACGAATATATAAGAAAAAAAAAACTTGGTTGATAAAAGAATAAAAGAGTACTGACCGGAGAAGGAAATGGAGCGATCAACGGCGAGAACACGGGTTTCACCGCCGTGATAACGGAGTTTGCCGTCAGGGTAACGAGGAAGGATTTTACCGCCGTAACTACAGAGGAATTTGATGGTGGAGTTGGGTACGACCATGCTTTTTTGGGGATTTGGTACGGTAGATAAGAGGTCCAGTGTTTGTAAGTTGAAGAGAAAAGAGCTTCAGTAGCTTTTAGGAAAAGGGAGGAGGAGGAGGCCCTGGAAGATGCTGTTGTAGTGGCGTCTTCAAGCCTAGGTTTGGTACTCTTTAACCCTTATTTATAGAGTTTATTATCAGCTTACGTCTATAGATTCCAATTCCTTACGGTAAAAGCTTCAAACTTCAACACCTTGCCTTACGCTTCAAACAGCCGTTTTGTTTGGTTAATTTTGAAAATCTGATACTCTTCACTTAACCTGGGCAGTTCTTAACAGATTTTTTAAGGGCGTTTTGCTTCGGAAAAAGTTAGATTATATTTCGAAATTTTATTTTTTGTAATTTAAGTTTTATATTTAGTTTATGGTATTTGATATTTTAGGGTGTTTTAAGATTTTCAAGAGTATTCAAATATCTTAGAATTAGAAATCTTTCTTTTCTTGTGATTTTTTAAAATTTAAAAAAAAAAATAATTTTATCTCATATTTGATCTTAATAATAAATTTTTGTAATTTATTTTATCCCTAAAAATTAACATTATTGTATAATAAATGGAGCCTTATTCCAATATGAAAATGAACATTCATAACCATATGATTAGATAAAGATATAATTCTAACTATACGATTGAACACTTGATACACGATTGGATATATAATATATTATATATAATAAAAATAATATTTTTAAATAAATAAATATAATAGATAACTATAATTTTATTTTTGAAATTTTTTACTTTAGAAAGCACTAGGTTTTTTTAAATTTGGAACACAGTAGGTCAATTAAAATAATAACAAAATAAAAATAAATATTTTCATATCAACAACATTTTTTATATGAGAAATGTAGTAATTGATATACTATTAAAAAAATATTTATGATACTTAAAAATGTAATGTTTGCTAACAAATATTGCATTTATTAATTTGAAAACGTGATTGATAATTTATCAAAGATCATGTTTTTTATTTCAAAATATGGTCGATAATGAATAAAAAAAATTATATTTGAAAAATTATTTTAACTATGTTTTTATGTCATAAATGTAGGTTTTGAACACGTTACAAAGACCACATTTTTTACATAAAAAGCGTGATTGATAATCATTTAAAGACCACATTTTTTGCTTGCAAAACATAATTTTTGAATACATTACAAATATCACGTTTCTTATTCAAAGACTACATTTTTTACGTAAAAAACATGGTTGATAATGAATAAAAAACAACATAATAAACTTACATTTGAATACGATATAACCCACTTTCTCTTTGCAGACAATATCGTAGAGCTCTAGTCAAACCCTTCTTCTATTTCACACAACATCAGTTTCAACCTTTGTGATTTTTTCTTTATGCAATTCATTTTAGACTATCTATATCAGTATATAGTCAGGCTACTCTTTGTTTTGTACTATCTATTTTGCATTATTTACATTGAATTAATGTTTTCTTGTTTATATTGATAAATCTGGGTTAGATTTTGATAAAAAGTTATTGATCTATTATATGTGTTCTTACTATTGATTTTTTGTTCTTGATCCGTAAATGTTTAGTTGCTATTTCTTGATCTAATCCAATATTTTCTTGCTATTTGTTTTTCGTTGGATGTGGCTTAGATCTTGATCTACCAAATGCACATTTTTTATTTCGACATATATTTTTAACATTAACAAAAATCTTTCTGGTAAATAGGTATGACTTGTTTATTAATAAAAAAGAAGATACAATTAGTAACAATGCTTATTTTGCAAATAAACTAGATAAAGAGTTTGTTTCAATTGTTGCTTATTATTGCTATGACATTAGTTGCAATTAAACTTAAAAAAAGACGTAGAATATCTTATACTGACGAAACTTACGATAGGCTTTAATTAAGTCATTGAACTTAAACAAAATAATTTTTGAAAGTGACATATAAAGTGTAAATAATTGTAAAATGGATAAGAGAGCTTTTACAAAATTATGTTAATTACTTCAAACATAAAAGGGAATTAAACGCATCTAGACATATGTTCATAGAAGAAATGGTTATTAGCTTCTTTCACATCATTATCTATCATACAAAAAAAATAAGGTTATGAAGTATCGAGTTACTAGATCTAGAGAGATAATCAGTAGGCAATTTCTTATTGTGTTAAATTTTATTTTGAGATTGCATTCCTCATTGTTTAAAAAACCAAAACTAATATCAAAAAAATTCAACAGATAACAGATGAAAATGGTTTTGGGTAATATATTAATCATTATTTACTTTGAACAAATAGTAATAAATCTCAATGTTATATAATGTATTAATGAGTTGTTAGGTTTAAGGTTACTTGGGTGCCTTAGATTGAACATACATAAAGTGAATGTAGACTTAGCTGACAAGCTTAGGTACAGTACTAAGAAAAATGAAATTACCATAAATATTTTTGGTGTTTGCTCACTGGACATGCAATTCATTTATATTTTACTAGTATGGAAAGGTTCTACAGTAGATTGTAGAGTGCTTAGGAATGCCATTATACGTAAATATGATTTAAAGATCACATAAGGTATCAGCTTTAATATTTTGATTTTAGTTTTGCATGGAATAGATTTTAAAAATGTATATTAATGTTGTGATATTGGATTAGATTTTTACTATTTGTATGATGCTGGATATGCAAATGAAAAAGGTTTTTTAGTACCTTATAAAGATCAAAGATATCATTTAAATGATTGAAAGCTAGGATACTAACCTATGACATCTTAGGAATACTTCAATGTGAAACACTTTTAAGCAAGAAATTGTATTGAAAGATGCTTTAGTATATTAAAAGCTAGATAGGCAATTTTAAAAGAAATAATTTTATCCAATTAAAACACAGTGTAGAATCATTTCTAGTTGTTGTCTTCTCTATAATTTTATTAAGTCTGAGATGCTAATTGACCCTATTGAAAGTGATATTGTTGAAGTGAGTAATAGCCAAACAAGAAGAAATGAGTATCAAGATTTGATTAGGCTCGATAAGCCAAGTGATGCTTGGATTGAGTTTAGAGCCAACTTGGCACAAAATATGTTTACTAATTGGTTATAATTCAATGGTTAAGGATGTTTTTTTTTTTTTTTTGTTTGATTGCTGACATTGATGTCTATATGATATGGTTAAGTGTACTATTTATTTTTTACATTTGTTTTATATTTGCATTTTTTAGTGTATGATGTAATTAACTATTATTTGTAATAATATTTGCTATGTTATTATGTCTATTAGTTTTATTCTTGTACTAATTATTGGTTCATCTTTATTGATTTTTTATTTTATATGCATTTGTTGCATGATATCTAGCTATATAATCAGGTTATCAAAATGTCATCATTTAGTGCCAACATAAAAGTACATCTACAAGAATAAAATAAACCTCATAAATAGGTAATCATACTTGAACAAAGGCTGAGGATGCCATTCTTATCCAATGTCTACATGTTTTGGCTAATGATCTTAGATAGCAAGTCGATAATGGACTTTTAGACTTAGCTATCTAGGACATCTAGAAAAGATGTTGGGTACAAATTCTCTAAGCACAACGAAAAGCAAACCTATACGTAGAGTTAAGGGTAAAGTTACTAAAGAGATAATATCATATTATTTGTGATATGATAACCAATGCAAGTGGATTTGACTGGAACGATATAAACAAATGTGTAACTGTTGACAAAGATATTTTTTATAAATGGATTTAAATAAGTAGTTAACTTGAATGTAAAAGTTACCTTGATTGTTGATTTCTTATCAAAATATTTGATACATATTTAATTTAACTTTTGTATAGATTTATCCCCATGTCAACGAACAAGCCTTTCCCTTACTTTAATGATTTAAAAATTATTTTGGATCCGATAGAGCTACTAGTCAAAAAGCTAAAACAGTAAATGAAGTGGAATCATTTAATGTTAAGAATGATGCTGACTTTGACAATAATGAAAATGAAGTCAACACCGATTAGGAGAATGAGAGATTAGAGGATGATAAAGTTGAAGGTTTAGCTTGTATGACATCCCTAAACACAAATGGAATGTTGTCAAGCAAAAAGCATTTTAGGAGTGACGATAGATTAGCTGAATGGATTAAGCAAATTGGTAATATCGGGACTGCATATTGGTGAAGTAGTGCAAGAAATCAACAGCATTTCGTCTTTTTTCAATAAAGAAGCCGAAGACAATGATAAACGATTTCTTTTGAGATGAAATGTTTTCTCCTAATGAATATATCTTAAGGGATACTCAAAAAATTGATTTTTTGTTTGCGCTGTCATATGAATTTAGAAAGGATTACATATGAAAGCAATTGAAAGAATGTAATGCCTACTAACCATTATTTAACTTTTCTCTTCCAAGACACATATAACTGATTTGTTGTATTGATATTATATTTGTTTTATATTCTTGAGATATTATAATTACATTTTTTAACTTTTGGATATGATTTATAATTGAAATATTATAATTACAAAATATAATAATTTTAAAAAAATCATTAAAAAATGTCAATTATAATATTATTAAAAAAATTCAATGAACCAAACTCCTATATTCAAATATTCTCCCTATTATTTGTTATAATTAACTCATATTGCTCAATCTTATTAAATTAATATTTATTACTAATAAAAAACACATGCATTTATCATTAAACCAATCATATTATTATCCCAATATTTATATTTCAAGGATTTAGATTTTTTTTTAATATGGAGGATTTAAATATTTGATGTCCTATTAATAAGATTATTAGTTTTTGGTTATGTAGAATAGTTAATGGCTGTGATTCAATCATAAATTGAAATCCATTTGTTTAGTTCTTGCTCCTTAATAAAATTTAAAGCACATTCCAAATTTGTAAAATGATTATAAAAATTTCCTTGCTTGTCTAACCTCGAATGACAAGCTATGCATTTTATTCCACAACCTCAAGATTGAAGCAAATTAAACAGAACGATGGATGGCTGGAGCCACTGATTTTCCATTAATAACAGAATTTTCAACTCCACAAGAATTGCTTGCTTTTTTTTTTTTTTTGAGGAACAATATTCTTATATCTTTTTTATTTTTTCTTCTAGTCAATTTTGTTGAGTTATGACTGATACATCAACAGATATTTTCACAACTGTGATGGGAAATAAAACATAAAAATTTCTCTTATTGTGTTCTGATTA